GAGCCACACCAGCTGGGCAGGAAACTTTCATACATGGAGGAAATCTCTTGTCTCCCATGACCTCCCCCCCCCCCCATTGGTGCAACTCTGCCGTTGATTCTCAAGAAATATGTGGGGACTGACCCTCCCAAGATCAGCGCTGGTCCTAGCTTTGAAAATGGAGGCAGGTGTAAAAGGAACCACAGAATTGTCAATAGCTCAGCATTCTGGCTGTCAGTTGTTGCAGAGTGGGCTGCCCTCTCTATCTGCCGCACTGATCAGCTAACCCCTCAGTGTTCAGCCAGTTTGAGGAGGGGCTGCTTGACACCTAGCCCAGGCTCCACGTCATCAATGGGGCTGAATGTGGTATGGGTGTGGCCAGGGCTGGCATCAGAGGGAGAAGCTTCACCCAGTGTGGGCACTGTGTGAGCTGTGTTTTCTCTCAAAGGGAGGTTAGAAATCTGAGATCAAGGTGTCAGCTGAGTTTGTTCCTTTTCAAGCCAGGCCCCTCTCCCAGCCTCAGTGTTCCTGTCAGTCCTTCCTACCCTTGATTGAGGATATTACCCAAGTTCTGCCTTCGTGTCCACATGGCCTTCTCCCTGTGTGCACGCCTCCGTGTCCAGACTTCCTCCCTCTTATAAAGATACACGTTGTGTTATATTAGGGCTCACTAATCCAGCATGACCTCATCTTCACTAATTCCATCTGCCTTGACTCTACTTCTGAGTGAGATCACATTCTGAGGTCCTGACAGTTAGGACAGCAACAGGTGAATTGGGGGCTAGGGAAGCGTTTCCACCCTATCAGGAACTGAATGCCAAGGCTCTATATATCTAGAAACTGGCAAACATCACACATTTCACCAACTAGAAAAGAAAAACTAAGAGTCCCAGGAGAGATTGGGCCAAGAGAATTGGGAACCATTTCAGCACCAGGGACAGCAACACGCGATTGGGTTATTCCTTCCTCGTACAGCAAGATTCAGAGGCTGGCGATATGGAAGGTTGCTCTGGTCCCTCCCTTCCATGGCGAGACCACTCCATGTTCTGCAGGCGGGGCTCCACAGGCAAGGAAGGCCCCAAGGAGGAAGGGTTCTGCCCCTATTTTTGCATCCCTTGCAGCCTGATTTCTTGCCAGCCATGCCTAATTTCTCTCAGGTTTTAGGGCGAGCTATTATATTTTGTTGTTAATCCCCAACCTAGAATACTTTTTCCCACTGCTTTTTAGAGAGGATGGGAGGGAGCGGGGAAAGAGGAGGGAGAGAGAAAGAAAAAGATGTGAGGGAGACATAGCAGTTGGTTGCTTCCCACACGTGCCCTGACAATGGCTGGGGATTGAATCTGCAACCCAGGTACGTGCCCTTGACCAGGAATTGAACCCGTGACCCCTCAGTGAGAAGGCCGATGCTCTGACAACTAGGCAATACCAGCCAGGACAAGGCTAGATATTTTAACTCCTATCATCTCCCTGAAGACATTTGGGGATTAAATTCAGAATATAGAAACACACACAGAGGGAAAAAAAAAATAACAGAAAGATAGATCATGTATTGAGAGATGTTTGCATCACACAGAAACAAAACCAGATAAACACACAATATATAAAGAACTTCTAAAAAACAACAAGTTGCCTAGGGTCATTAATCCAGGAATGTACATTAAAATCTCAATGAAATATAATGGCACACTCACCACTAACACCTAAAAGGCTAGAAAACCCGAGTTAATGAGAAAGAAGCACTAATAAGATTTAAAGACCCCTATGGTGGGAGTATATGTGGGTGCAACCACTTTGGAAAACTGTTTGAAATAATCTATTAAAGCTAAACAAATACCAACCTTATAACCAGCAATCTCATTCCTGGACCTGCCTTTATGCATCAAAAAATACATATGTGAGAATGATCCATGACAGCTTTATTCACGATAGCCCCAAAAAGTGAACAGCCTAAGTGCCATCCATCCACAGGACAATGGATAACCATTTGTAGCATATTAATAGGACAAAGTATTGCACAGAAGTAGAGAGGAATTGATCCCCAAGACACACAGCATCCACAGCTGAGCGGAAGAAACCAGACACAAAAGTGGACATGCACTGTGATTTCATTTACATACATTCAACATGGGAAGCCCTCAACTACAATGATAAGCGACGCATGAGGTGTGGGAAACCATAATGAAAGCAGGATCTGGTTATCACAAGGGCCAGGGTCGCGGCCACTTCTTGGAAGATTGTCATCGGGTGAATGGAACGTGGGGCTTCTGGTGGCTTCCATGTTCTATTTCTGGGTCTGTGAGATGATCACATGACTTCATAATTATTTAATTGCACCCTTACAGATGCTGCCCTTTGTGGGGGAGGAGGTTTGTAATGTATACCAATTACAATTTTTTACTGTGGTAAAATTTACCACTTGACAGTGTATATCTCAGTGGCATCACCCACATTCACTCTGTTGTGCATCCATCACCACCATCCATCTCCAGGACTCTTTTCATCTTGCAAAACTAAAACTCTTGCACCCGGTGTCCCCCACCCCCAGCAAAACTGCATTTAATACTAACGCTTCATCCCCATTACACACTAATTCTTCATCCTCACCCCCAGCCCCCGGCACGCACCATCTACTTCCTGTCTCTATGGATGTGACTCCTCATAAAATGAAATCATGCGCTCACTGAGCACAAGGTCCCTAGGTTCATCGTGTTGTAGCATGGCCCAGAATTTCTTTCTTTTGTAAGGCTGAATAATATTCTGTTGTACATACAGGGTATTCCAAAAGTGTGTACACATACTTTGATTAATTATAAAGGCAGTGCTTATTAAAATACATTGCATTTTCAACATTGAGCTATCAGCTGTTACGGGGTGTATATATTTTGGGGGGGACACCTGTATATCCATTCATCTGTCGGTGGATATCTGGGTGCTTCTACCTTTGGCTATGGTGAATAATGCTGCTGTGAGCACGGCTGTGCAAATATCTCTTTTGAGTCCCTGCTTTCAATTCTTTTGGGTATGTACCCAGAATTGCTGGATCATATGGTAGTTCTACGTTTAACTTTTTTGAGGCCCTGCCAAACTGTTCCCACAGCGGCTGTACCATTTTACATTTACAAATGTTTCTTAAAATGCTAGCGCCTGTCTTCAGCTCTGCCTGGTGCCCTCTCCCCAGAGCTCCAAGAGACGTCTCAGGCTTGGGGCGGACACTCCTCCCCACCACCCAGCCCAGCTGGTGGGAGGAGCCACTGTGGTCAGCATCGCCCGGCAGACACAGCTTTAATTAGCTCCTGCCTGGGGCAGAAGTGGGCACCCAGAGCTGTTCCCGAGAGCTCTGCATGGGCAGTCAGGAGTGAAGGGAGGCAGAGAGATGGGGACCATGAGGGGAAAAGCTGGCGCTGGGGGACACAGGGCCCAACAGCATCAGAGCAGCCAACGACGGGCTCATTTCACAGGCAGTGAAAACAAGGTCCACAGAAGCTAGGCCACGCCCAACTCTGAGCCCAGACCTTGGGGTCCATCCCAGGGGTCTTGACACCAGCCTGCAACCCCCACCCCGTCTTCTGCAAACATCTTTCAAAATATCTTTTTTTAAAAAAAATATATATATATATTATTGATTTTGTACAGAGAGGAAGGGAGAGAGAGAGTTAGAAACATCGATGAGAGAGAGTCATCGATCAGCTGCCTCTTGCACACCCCCTACTGGGGACATGCCCGCAACCAAGGAACATGCTCATGAACGGAATCGAACCAGGGTCCCTTCAGTCCCCAAGCCGACGCTCTATCCATTGAGCCAAACCAGTCTCGGCTCAAAATATCTTTGATCTCATTGGTCTTTCTCTGGGCATTTCTTTCTCCTTGCTTCTCTTTGTCTCTGTCTCTGGCTCAATGTTTCTTGCTCTGTGACTCTCAACACCTGGCAGCCCCGCCCCAACCCAGGATGTTGCCCAATCAGACGCTGGCTTTGGGGACCTTCAGGGCCTCTCCTGATTGGCTCTGCTCTTTGCCGCTGAACCACACACCCTCTGGAGCTTGGGCCACCTCTTGGTGTGTCCATCAGAAGGCACTCTCGGACCATTCTCTTTGGGGGAAACTGAGGCAAAGACTGAGCAGGCCCCATCCAAGACCACAGTGCTGGGGCCTCTCCCCATTGTCCTCCCCCTATAGGCCAGCAGCTCTGCCCACTCCCTGACCCCACTTGGCCAGCCACTGTCCTGAGAGGCTCTTCATCTCGTGTCAGCCACGGACTCCCTTAACATCTGGGTGTCCTCTCTTCCCTCCCCTGTTTCACTTTTTGGGAAGTGGAGGGGGCTGACCCACTGCTCCTGCACCCTCCCTCCCTCCACCGCTTCCTCTTCGCCCCCAGAAAAAGGTGTCTTCGGTTCAGGGTCCTCTTTATTAACTTTTAATTGTAGTAAAATACACATGATATAAAATCTACCATTTTAACGTGTTTCTCTCCTCCCCCCCCCCCAGTTGTTCTACTGTAGTAAAACACACGCCGTGTTAAATTCACCATCTTCACCATTGTTAAGTGTGCAGTTCAGTGACATTAAATGCATCCATATTGCTGTACAACGATCACCACCATCCTCCTCTCGGCCTTCTCATCTTTCCAAACTGAAACTCTGTCCCCACTAAACATGAACTCTTTATCCTCCTCCCCCAGCCCCTGACAAGGTCTGCTGTCTGTCTCTATGGAGGGGACTCCCTGGGGACTTCTTATAGGGAGAACTGTACAACATTTGCCCGTTTGTGCCTGGCTTACTTCACTGAGCAAAATGTCCTTAAGGTCCATCCATGTCATAGGAGGTGACCCTCCTATGACATTATTTACCTTTTTAAAAGAGTGAATACTATCCCAGTATGTGGATGGCTCACCCTGTTTGTCCATTTATCCATCCATGGACACTTGGGTGGTTTCTGCCTGTCGGCTGCTGTGAACTATGCTGCTGTGAATGAACAATGGGTGTTCAGCATCCTTTCCTCTTAACACCCCCTTCTCTCCCCTCCAGGCTGTGCCTTCCTCACTTACTGTGCCAGGGACTCTGCCATCAAAGCTCAGACTGCTCTGCACGAACAGAAGACCTTGCCCGGGGTGAGTCTGGATGCTGTCTGGGGCGGGGGGAGAACGGAAGGGTGGCTCTCCGCCTGGGGAAGGCCAAGGCCCTTCTTGGGATCAGCAGTGTTTTGGCTCAGAAAGAGGTATAAGACTCAGAGGGTCAGAAATGATCACCGGAGTCAGCACTATTTGAGTGCCTACTGCATATTGGGCCCAAGTATCACACCAGAGTGGTGATGTGTGGTGGGTCATGTAGGTGGCACTGGTTGAGGGTGTGAGTGTAGTTGGCCTGAGACCTGAAGATGAGGAAGCATTAGCAGGCAGCGGGAGCAGCACGTGCCAAGGCCCTGAGGCAGGACTGTGCCTAGTGTGTTAAAGGGACATCGAAGCAAATAGAGCTTCAGCCCATGATTCGGGAGTTGCTTGGGCAGGAATTCCATCCCAAAGGGAGGCCGGCCCAGGCTCTGTACCTGCCGGTCTCTCTCAGCCCTGTCCTCTTTGGGTGAGCAGAGGTCCCCTGAGCCAGGTGAGCCTGGTCTCCAGGCAGCACCTCCTGACGGAAAGTGAAGGAACCACAGTGAGATTCGTGACTGTGGGGGTGGGCCTTGCCATTCTCTCCGGAATTCTCAGAGACCCTTCAGCATCAAAAGCATTCAGGAACTGCTTGGGGCACCTGTATCCATCAACGCTTGGAACAGGAAGTCTGGGGTGTGCCAGTCCCGTGGGTTGCAGATAAACCAGGTGGTGAGGGAAGGCCTCTCTGAGGAGGCAACCTGATGACCTGAGGGAGGGAGGGGCCCTGTCTGCCCATCCATGGTAAGGACACAGCCAGTGCAGAGGCCTCGAGGCTGGACCAAACTCGGTGCCTTTGAGGAGCATCGGGGAGATGAGCAGAGTGAAGCCATGGAGTGAGGAGGGTGGAAGGGGGATGGGGAAGACGAAGGGACAGGACTCCGTGAGGAGTTTGGGTTTTATTCCAAGGGAAGCTGGGGCCATGGGAGGGTGGCAAGCAGGGGAATGACCTGGTTTGATTTCAATTTTCAAAACCCTCCTTCCAACTACTGGAATCCTGGGGCTGCTTAACAACGCACCACAAGCCATGACGCTTGAAGCAGCGAAAATATATTGTCTCACAGTTCTGTGGGCCAGGAATCGGAAATCAAGGTGACAGCAGGCTGCCCTCCCTCTGGGAGAATCCTTTCTATGACTCTCCGGCTTCTGCTGGCTGCCAGAAGCTCCTTGGCTTGTAGACTCATTACTCCAATCATTCCTGCCCCTGTCGTCACAGGGCCTTCTCCTCGTGTCTGTATCTCTCCGATGTCCCCTGCCTTTCTCTCATAAGGACACCTGTCATTAGATTTAGGGCTTACCATTCATCCAGGATGAACTCATCTCTAGAGCTGTCATTTAATTCCATTCATCAAGACCCCTTTTCCAAATAAGGTCTCATTTTATTATGATTATTTTTTGTTAAAAAATACTTTTATTGATTTCAGAGAGTAAGGGAGAGGGAGAGATGGATAGAAAATCAATGATTGAGCCCACAACCCGGGCATGCACCCTTGACCAGAGTAGAACCCAGGATACTTCAGTCCATAGGTCGATGCTCTCTTCGGCTAGGGCCAAATAAGGTCTCATTTTATTCCCAGGTTCTGGGGGTTAGGATTTGGGTATATTTTAGGAGGACCATCATTCAACCCGCTAGAGAAGGTTGGCACAAAATAAAGGTCCAGATGCAGGGGCGACTTGTGGCAGCGTCACCAGGGAGACACAGCTGGCCTGCATGGCAGACTCCGTAGAGAGCAAACAGGATGGCTTCTTGGAGGAGGGAGCTTCAGGGCTGGGTTTTGAGAAATGGGGAGGATTGTGGCAGATGGAGATGAAGAAGGGGGTGGCGTGAGGACAGAGTGTACCAAGACTCGGAGGCAGGGACGTGCCTGGTGTGTGGCTGAGAACACACGAGAGCCTCTGTTGTCTGACGGAAGAGTTTACATTAAGTTAGGAGGAGTTTTCAACCCAGGGCGATTCTGCTCCCAAGGGACACTGGGCGATGTCTGGGGACATTTGTCATTGTCGAGACTGGAAGATGCTGTGGGTAGCATCTGTAGGATGCTGCTCAACACCCTGCAGGGCGCAAGACGGCCCACAACAAGGAATTATGTACCCCAAGTCAATAGTGCCCAGGTGATAAATCCTGGTTAGGAAGAAGAGCTGGCAAGCAGTGCTAACTGAAATATAACGCAAGCCACACGCAGCATTTAAAATTTCCAGTAGCAACCTTTAAAAAGGAAAAGGAGACAGGTAAAATGAATTTTAATGCTATATTTCATTTTCACCCGACATCTCTAAAAAATCTTATTATTTCAACAGCAGCCAATATAGTTTATTATTAAACAAATTTTAAAACCCCATTCCCGAGTCACACAAACCTCATTTCAAGAGCTTTGTAGCCACGTGTGGCTGGTGGCTCTTTCATTGGACAGTATGGTTCTAAAATGTTCTAAGCCCGGGGTCACCTCAGACAACATGTAAATGAATGGGTGTGGCTGTGTGCTAATAAAACTTTATTTACAAAAACAGGCAGGGGCTCAGGATAAGGCTGTAATTCGCCATTCTAGACGCGTGCTTTCCGATAGAACTCTCTCCCATGATGGACATGTTCTGTCTGTGCTGTCCAGTATGGTGGCCACTAGGTCCATGTGGCTATTGAGCCTTGAAAAAATGTGGCAAATATGACTCAGGAACTGGATTTTTATTGTTATTTGATTTTAATAAATGTAAACTTTAACTTAAGTGACTACATGTGGCTGGTGGTTACCACATTGGACAGATCAAATCTAGAATGTTCTATATTAGAGGTTGGCTACTGTGTTAGCACAGACACAGAATGTTCTAGACTGGAGCCAGCTACTGTATTGGAGGGTGTAGACCTAGAATGTTCTAGACTAGGAGCCCACTAGCCTACTGAACAGTGCGGTCCTAGAGTATCCTAGGCCAGGAGTCAGCTACCATATGGGATAGCACAGACCCAGAATGTTCTAGACCCAGGAACACAATGCAGTGTTATTACATATCTAGATTGCAGGGATCGAGGTCTCTCTTTGATGTCAGCTCACTGTGGACAGGTGAGCAGTTTCAGGCAATACCCTCTCCTCTCGGGGTCAGTTTCCTCAGCCTCCACATGGAGCCTGGGGGGTAAATGATCACTGTCGCCCAGCACTGTTGGACCCTTATCGAAAGGCCATGTCCACCAGGAGGGCTGACAGAGAGGAGAGGGTGGGTAAGAGGGACTCATGGAAGGTCACCCAGCAGGGTGAGAGGCCTGCAGCTGTATCTTCCCCTCCACAGGCCTCGAACCTCTGGCTTTTCTGGTTCAGTTTCCTGCAAGCTGGTTCCTATCCTCCTGGGGGAGGGGGGAGTGGTGAAGGCTGCTGTTTGATAAATAAGGGGGGTGTGGCTCAGAGTAGGACCCTGAGGATGCAGGGACCCACTGGGGACCACCACCAGGCCTGGGAAGCATCCTCCAGGAGTACAGCATGGTTTTTAAAGGTTATTTCTTAAAGTTTGCAAAATACCACACACTTAGAGAAAAGTACATGCAACACCAACGATGATAAAGCAGGCACCTCCGTTGTTACCACAAGCAGCACCCCAGGAATCCCCACCCCACGTCTCAAGCCCAGCCTCTCTCTTCCTGTTGGAGGGGCCACCCCTCTGACCTTCCTGGTTCCCAGCCCCTGCTTTCCTCCATGGTCTCAGCAACGTTGCTAAAATATTAGCTGGCTGTTGCGCGTTTTTCTTTTAACCCAATATGAATGGAATCATGTTATATGTAAAGCCATCTGCATTTTTCTTCTTAGGGTGATGCTAATGAGAGTCAGCATCGCCCGCATCTGTAAGGGGCACTTTTTCATTGCCGTGTAGCACTCCATGACATGAACACACAATGTATTTGTTCACCGCCCCCCTGTTGGTGGACATTTGGGTTGTTTCTTGTTTTTGCTGTTTGAAATACAGACCCTTTTCCATGTTTTGATTCTGGTGTACACATGCCCACCAGGCTCATACCCGGAAGTTCTGGTCCCTCCCTAAGTGTGTGTACCTTAGGCTTCTGATTAGCTAAGGGGTTGACTTTCCGGGTAAATCACTCTCCCCTGAGGATACCTACGGATGTGGGACCAGCCATATCAGAACCAGATCTGGAGGCTCCTTTGCAGATGGCACAGTGGAAGGGGACTGCTGGGGCAGAAGGCCCCCCTCACCTGTCAGCTGCATCTGAACACCGAAGTCTGAGCCCCCTCATCCCAGGAGGTCTCCACCAAAAGATGGAGCCTCATGAGGCTCACCTCGTGCTGGGAAACCCACCTGCCGGCTCCTGTGCCTGCACTCGCTTGCACACACAGCAGGGAGTGAGGGGCCAGAGCTGAATCACTCTAGAAATGAAGACAGCCACCATCGCTCCTGTCCCCTGCACTGCCCCCTCCACCCCCACCCCGAAAATCCCCGTGTGCATGTGTGAGCTGGGGAAGGCATTGTACAGTGGACACTTGTCTTTTTATCTCTTGAAAAAAGTGAGAGATACAGCTGCAGGCCTCTCACCCTGCCAGGTGACCTGCATGAGCGCCGTCTCCCCTCTGTCAAACCAGGAAGGGAGCGAGCCGGCCACTTTCCGGCCCGGCGCCCCCACACCATGCGGCAGCCGAGCTCCCGCTCCCCCAATGCTTCTCTCTGAAGTAAGACTGATCCCCCTTTCCAGTGCCTTCTTCATGCCAGGAGGGTCCATGGGGGACACAGCTTAATCAAACCTCAGTGTTCTGGAAGAGGATCCTAAATTGAATACAACAGAATCCCAGAATAGAGCCCGAATGGACCCAGGACCCGGAATCCAGGCTGGGCAAGTGCCTCAGAGCCCAGCAGAGGATCTCAGCGGGGCTGTCAAACCCCAGGCTGGGGTTCCTGGCAGTGGAACGGGTCCCACGGGGCAGCGGAGACTAGTGTGGCCAGCTGCTGTCGCTAAGACTTTTAAGGGAACACCA